AATACAAACGGTTATCAATGTGCTGAGTGTAAATTAGAACGTGAAAAAATGAGTCATTATGGATTTTTTTTCTCTATCTTATAATCTCATGGTCATGTGAAGCGTGAAAAACTGTTCCTTTATAGGCATTTCAGAACATTACTGCAGTATTCATAGTTGATTCTGTTCAGGGTCGGCTTTTATTTTTTCAATATAAATTCCTTCTAGGATCTGTAGCTTGAATTTACAATTTTCTTGTTGTAGGATAGTTATGTTGTCGATCAGTAACTTTTTATATTGTAAATGTGGAGAGTAATGTTGTTGTAGATGTGGCGCAATGGACGAATGGTCAGGAATGTGTAGTGTAAGACGTCTTGTTACTGTAGTTGTCGTATACCCAACATAGGTTGTATTGTATTTTTTTATTATATATAATTAATTTTATTTTATTTTTTTATTAGAATCCTTGGAAGATATGTTAGTATAAATGAGATTTTCTATGATTTTTCATCCTGTTTGTAGTTAGTATGCATCTGGTTGCAATATAGTAGTTTGATATATTTAGTGTCCTTTCGAGAAATACTATATTCTATTTGACGTGTGTTGAATATATATATATATATATATATATATATATATATATATATATATATATATATATATATATAAATTAATTGATTTAAAATATGGTTTTTCCGCTACACAGTTCTAACCATGTTTCAAAAATGGATGGTCCGAATTTAATTTTATAATTAAATTAAAGACATTAGTTCCATTTCATCCTCAAGCGAATTTTGGAGTAACTTTTAAAATTACTGGGTTTTAAAGACAGCAAAAATCATAATTCACGTTTCCAAGGATACAGAGAAATTCATTTCAACTAGAGGGGTGTTTGCGTGTTCATTATGTCTCTATTTTGATGTATCAGTTATTAGTTACGTTTTGGTAGGGGGTAGGGATGTATTTTTCAATGAAATCTGACATCCGTTAAATGCATGTCGTCTGGATTATTTTTAAAAAAAATTATTGTTAACGGCAAAAATTCTTACGGCATTTTTTCTATTTGTATATTTAAAGATATGTATCGTCTTGTTTGTTCATCTACAATGTGGTTTGTGAAGTCATTATGAATAAGAGTCTGCTTAATATTTTTTAGTTCATTGTACAGAATCTTTTTTTGCGGAGAAATTAATCTGTGTTCGGTTATTTAAATTCTGTATAAGTGCTATTTTGCAGTCATCCAGATATTTATAGTTGAAAGTGCAAGAGTTTTTGCTGGTTGTATTTTTTTTTCATATCCCCACCCCGGATAACTTTGAAAGATTTATGAACATTTCTGACTATGATTTAACTGACAATCCAAAAGAACTACTTAACATCTGACCTTACTGCCATATATCCAAAACGTATACCGGGCTACATTAAAAAGATGCTGAGATTGAAACATCATTTCAAAATAAAATTAAACTCCAGGAACAGCAGCTAATTACCACAGAACCAGAAAAGGAATAACGAGATAGTTTAAGGAGATAAGTAAACTGTGAAAAGCACAAATAACCATGACATCGTACACATGTGTACATACGCATATATAGAGGTGTACACATGTGCGAGTACGCACGCAATGTATAACACACGCATACATAAAAAAAAATCAACTTAACACCATCAAGAAAGAGTCTGAATTATTTTTTAACTTAATATAAAAGTAACTAAAATGAGAAGATTGATAGACATTTGCTAATATCTCCTGACGAGTGGAGGTATAAAGGATAGCAGCTCAGATTGAGGAATCGGAGAGCCGAGTTCGATTTTTAGTCGGAACCATTACATTTTGATTATGTTATTTTCTCTTCAAGTTACATGTGTTATCCATTTTACTTTTGCTGAAGTTGGTAGTCCTCAAGTGATGTGGTTTCTCTTCTTTGTTTTGTGATTATGTAGCGTCAGTTCACACTGTTCAAAGAATAATCTTTGCCAAGACCCTCCGGCTTCACTCACTCAAAATCCCTGTTTTATCATTATTCTTAGAATGTTGTATACCGTTGACAGTTTAAATATTTCTGAATATGTTTGGCGCCACGTATATCACCCATACGAAAGTTTCGATTTGAAGAAGCCATTTAAGAATATGACTCGGTTCTCAAAAACTGAAAATACTTATGACTTATATATAGATATAGTCAGTATAGATGTAAGTATCAGCAATGCATTATTTGGGATCGCGTGGGAGTGGCTAGCTTGCTGTATAGATACCTATTTCCACATTGTTAATATTATCCACCTGTCCTAAGGAGGTTCAGATAAGCTTCATTCTTTTGCTCCACAAGTTTAGACTATTGCAACGAGGACACGACATGCTACTTCCAAAGAGTTGAATCCCTTTCATTTCCCCCGTATTCCAAACGTAATGAGAAAGTTCCACATAGGCAGTTTTGCCCCCCAAAAAACAGTCAGTTTGTGTAACGTGCTCCTGTGTGGATACTTCCCTGAACGCTATAACGTCTTCAAACAAGAGTCAATCGTCAACTATCTTCCTCCTTCTCATAGTCCTCGCTTCTTATGTTACCTTTTGAACAGTAGCCCACTAAACTGAGTGGCTCCCCAGAAGCCTCAGTTTACTGTTTTTATCATTTTTTTGTGGGAAAAGGGTTAATTTCTTTTACCATCAAAAACAGTCTGCATAGATGTGCCGTGTCCTTTAAAGATGTCGGCGATGATGGCTCTCTACATCTTCCTGGCATTTCTTGCTCTTAGGAAGGATTAACTTTTTACTATTCTTCTTCCTCTCTGTTCTTCCAACGATTAACACTAGTATGTTTGGTACGTAACTGATCTTTATTGCTTAACTTCGACATTTTGTGTTAGTGTCAAATTCTCTAAGCCTTCTTTCCTCGTTATGAGCACCAGATATGTTAACTGTCTCTTTCTCATTCTAACTCTTCTTTATGTTCGTATTTTCCATAAAACTTCCTTCTTACTCACATTGTCAGTCCATGGTATTCTCAGCCTTCTTCTGAAATGAATATATCGATTTCGGAAAAAGAAACAGCTCAGTGTGGGAAATCCGAATTAGAGACACCAAAATCTAGACACTATAACTAATTGAATGCCTAGAAAAAACATATAGCAGGGGACGGGGAATGTGACACAGAAAAGAATATAAGGCCTGTAGCTGAGATATTTGAATTTAGCACACATTTTTTTAAGCATTTCACCCCAAGCAAGGCGGGAGTGCCACTAGCACGTAAGGGGTTACAGAGGATTGAGAGTAAGAGTAAAGAGGCATGTGTGAGGAAAGGATAAAGAGAAGGATGGGGAACAAGATCAAGGCATCACATGATGTCGATTGACATTACATTTGAATATTTAAAATTTATAGCTATCAGGGAAGCAAGTAAGTGGAAGGGAATTCCCATGTCGGGAGGTGCTTATGCAGTAGAAGATATGGCTACATTTAGTCCTTTCGACAGTGAACTTAACATATATAAAACTTAACAATATATATATATATATATATATATATATATATATATATATATATATATATATTCATAGAAAAGGTTCGAATCCTGTCAAAGAACGAATATTTTCTATGAAAATTTCTCGGACATTCAGGCCGGTAAATGTTATTTAATACTGTTTATCATAAACAGAGCATTTGCTTGAATACTTGTATCTATAAAATAACAACGTTAAACATAAAAAAAATGTCTTTAATAAATAAATTGTCGGACTTTGTCCATTTCTTAATATATGACGTCATTTGTTTACATTCGATACGCCAGAGCAGTTATGAATGTACGAGATTCATGGAAGATTGGAGTTTATAAGCAGTAAATTCGACCTTGTCTACCGAACGGTTCTTTGTAGCCCAGAGGTAAGGCACGTCAGCGTATATGACGGTTCCGTATAGGATGCAGGTTCGAATCCTGTCAAAGAACGAATATTTTCTATGAAAATTTCTCGGACATTCAGGCCGGTAAATGTTATTTAATACAGTTTATCATAAACAGAGCATTTGCTTAAATACTTGTATCTATAAAATAACAACGTTAAACATAAAAAAATGTCTTTAAAATATATATATATATGTGTGTGTGTATTTAAGAATTTAATTCCCTTTCAGACATGTTTGATTGAATAAATTACATCTGTTATTATGTTTGCTAATTTTTAACAAAATCCGTTCATACTCACGAATAATCTTTCGTGTATTGATATTAAAAAATGAGAGAAATATGCTATAACTGTTTGAATTTCTTTTATTTTCATTTCTTGTATTAAACAACAGGATATTTTCATTGGAAACAAACAAAAAAAGAAAGAGAGTTAAACTATCAATCCTCCTATATGGCTGTAAATGCTGGTGATACAAAAAAGAATATTATCCCCGTGGCTGAGATATTTGAATTTAGCACACATTTACCGTATCAGAAACCAAGAATTTGTATGCAGATTGTCAAACGCATACGTGCATATAAATACACCACAATTTTCCTGTAATCTAAATTAAGCCCAATATATATGTAAATGTATATTTATTTTGTTTCTGTTTCCTTTGCGACGATTTTACGTTTCTTTAGGAAATATTCAAATAACTCATCGGAAATTAGCAGAACAATATATCTGAAATACATACAAGAAAAAGCAGAATGCAATAATCATTATATATATATATATATATATATATATATATATATATATATGTTTGTATGTATATATACATAAAAATATAAACTATATGTATATGTATATATGTGTGTGTGTCTGTATATATATATATATATATATATATATATATATATATATATATATATATAGAGAGAGAGAGAAAGAAAGAGTAAGAGAGAGCAAGAGAGAGGTGGTTTTTCATATTTCCTCCTGAATTAAGTTTTCTCTGCATGCTTTTTGCACAATGTGCCAAGGGCGCCATTCAGTTTTTAAAAGCTTTCCGTTTGTTTTGACTTGTTTTGAATTGCTGAAAAGACTTTTGAAATCATTTTTCCTGAGATTCTTTCATGCCTACAAGCGCATCAGCTTCCCAAATTCGTGATGTCCTTTAGATTTGAAATCTGTATTATTATTTTTTTTTTTTTTTTAAATTTTTAACTAATTGATTTATGAGTCGGTTAGAGTATGGTCATGAGTGGGCATAGTGGAAACGGCGAATCGAGTTCAAATTCCGGATTTCCCATTTTGCATTCACTTTCGCACTCATGCTCCTGAGTAAGATTTGAATCCATTTGTATTAGAAGGGTAGACGGGATTTGCAGATTTATGAGTGTTGGAAAACTGAATTTCAAACCGTGGTGGAGCCAACAGGAAACCATTCCAATATTTTTCTAAAGAATGCAGGGTTATTCACAGAAAATAAAGAAAAGTCAATTATTGTGAATACACACACACAGACATACATACACGCACACAAACATATTCGATATGGTTAATCGTGAAGTACTCTAGAAAGTTATTAAAAAAAACTTGGAATCCCAAACAAAATTTCCAGTGTTATAATCTCCTTTAACGAGGGCATGAAATCTGCTGTTATATTTGATGGAAACATTATCTGATTCCTTTGATGTTACAAATGGCATGAAGAAATCTTTTGTCACTGTCCCTTGTCTCTTTGATCTATTCTTTACTTTAATGCTTAAATATTCCTTTGGTGACATGGGCACTGATTTTAAATTTCAATTTCGTACAACTGGTGGCCTTTTCAACCGTCAGCGGGTCAAAGCTAAAGCGTTCATTCGAAATAGCCTCATTTGTGGGCTGATGTTTGCGGATATTGCTGCTCTTATGGCAACATCCCTAGAAGAAGCCCAAGAAATCGCCAAACTTTTCTCTGTTGCATGCAAAACGTTTGGCCTTACCATTAGCATAATGAAAAAGGACATAATCCGCACATACAAGCACACACACATATATATGAAAAAAATTAATAGGAGGATTTGTAATAATCATAATTAATTAATTCATCGAGTCTAGAAGAAAGTAGACTCGATAAATTACTTAATTATAATTATAATTATCCCAAATACTCCTAATTATTAAGGATTATTTTTAAGCATTTTTTTTCATATGGATGAGTCTATTATGATCGTACACGCAGAACAAAACTGCTAGAAATAATGGAAGTATTGATAATAAAAAAAGAAGCCAACTTCCAAAATTAGCAATTAGGGACAGAACCACAGCGTATTGACCATGTCCGAAAATTACCTTCCTCATCCTTATGTATACATATAAAACAATCCACATATTCCCTTAGACAAAAACATCCCAAATCAGACGGGTTGAGGCAATCGGATGTCTAAGCACACTGACGAGCTGTGAAACAACGTAAGAGTTTGTCTGTGAATGATAATATATATATATATATATATATATATATATATATATATATTAAATCAGATTTCAAATGGTCATTGACTGACCACGATTACCACTTTCATACGCTTTCACAGAATCACTGCCTACTTGAAATGTTTTAATGCTCTGTCGTTTAAGATGAACATTCTTTTTTCTTTGTGCAATTTTTAGCAGGCACAGTTGGGAGCTACATATTCTAATTTCTACTGATATATATATATATATATATATATATATATATATATATACACACAAACACACACACACACATATATATATATATATATATATATATAAGTATATTATAAATATACTAGTTTAAAAATATGGTTCCATCGTTACACAGGAATTACCATGTTTCAAAAATAGAAACTAAAATCTTTAAATTTAATTTTAGAATTAAATTCAAATCCCTAGTACATTTTCAAGCGAATTTTGGAATAACTTATTTTGAAATTTACTGAGATTTAAAAGCACATACATTCTTAAAATTAGTTGCTAAGGATACGGGGAAATTCAATCATTTTGACATGGGTGGTAGGGTATTCATTTTTACTGATAATTATGTTATCAAAATATGAGTTACTTTCGAAAAGAGGTTAAGTTAAGATAGGGTAGGGGTGCCTGTTCAACAAATGATGACATCCGTTTTTCGCGTGTCGTCTGGTTTTTTTTATTTTTTCAATGACAGAAAGTTTTTCGATACTTTTGTTTTGCCGTTTAATTTGTAATTGTATACATAAATATTTTTTTTTCCAAAAGGGTTGTGTGTCTCTTGAGTAAACATTTAGGCCAAAATCAAAGAAATTTAGGCAGTATAATAAAAAGAGTTGAAGATAAACAAACATTATGTAACTGCAGAAATCCTCAAAACTGTCCTTTTAATAATAACGCACTGAATCATTAGTGTACCAGTGCAATATCTCATCTGTTGAGGATTCAGACAAATTCAAAGTATACACTGGATGCACAAGACATAAATTCAAAAAGCGTTTCAACCAACATCAATGTTATTTTAGAATATATAAGTACCGAACTCAGGCGTCCCTATCGAAATAATTCTGGCTCTTAAAAGAAACCAATAAAACACCTACTGTGAAATGGTAATTAATAAGAAAAGCTAGAATATGTAGGTCATTAAATGACCCATGTCCTTCGTGCATACATGAGAAACTATATATTATTAGGTTTTACATTATGAAATGGACAAAGTCCGACATTTTTTATGTTTATACGTTCTTTTTATAGATACACATATTTATTATAAACAGAGGATTTACTTAAATATTTGTATCTATAAAAATAAAAATGTCTTAAAATTATTAGGTTTATAAAAAATAAAAATTTACTTAATCAAAGAAATGAAATAGATATTCTTTACCGACATTGTCCAAGATTTTCCTTAAATAATGTTTAAAAAAAGCCGAAAAATGAAACATGCATATGTATATTTGATATTTTAATAATAATCTTCAAATGATAAAGTAAATCTAATCTTTTTTTTTGTTTTAAAAGAAGTACAATCCTTTATTAATTAGAAGTAGAAGTAATATTTTAAAATTGTATTTTAATACGACCTGCTTATATTATATTCTTCTACGCATGTATCTATACTTTCTGTGTGTATGTATGTAGGTATCCATGCATATTTGTCTGGCTTGCTATCTATCTTTCTCAGGTTGAATAGATTCATATCTTTGTGCTGGTATCTATATATTTTGTCGGTATGAATTCGTGTGCGTCTGTCAGTCTTTTGCTCTATATCTACCAATCTATCTGCCCATATTTATCTATCGTTCTATCTATATATTTATCTTTCTATCTGCATCTATCTATCGACATCTATTTATCCATCTATATCTATCTATCTATCTATCTATCTATCTATCTATCTGTTTAAATATTTATCTATTCATCTATCTATCTCAGTTTGTTCATATCTATCTATCTATCTATCTATCTATCTATCTATCTATCTATCTATCTATGTGTTTACATATTTATCTAACTATTTATCTATCTATCTCAGTTCGTTCATATCTATCTATCTATCTATCTATGTGTTTACATATTTATCTAACTATTTATCTATCTATCTCAGTCTGTTCATATCTATCTATCTATCTATCTATCTATCTATCTATCTATCTATCTATCCCATGCTGCTCATATTTCATTTTGGTCTAAATTTCTTTCTCTCTCTCTCTCTATATATATATATATATATATATCTATCTATCTATCTATATCAGTCACTTTATCAATATATCATGCAGTTCATATCTCATTCTGCTATATTCTCTCTCTTTTTTATCTATCTATTTATATTTTTATCTATCTATCTATCTATCTATCTATCTATCTATCTATCTATCTATCTATCTATCTATCTAGTTCTTGGCCCATATGATCATTGTAGCATTAAATCTTTCCTGTGTATGATTTTCAATTCTTGATTTTGATATTTCTCAATCTAAATAAAAATACCGACTCTCCCGTTTTCAAACGGATCATCAAATGACCCCTGTCGTGATGACCAAAAGACAATGTGTTGTGATGTCTTCTAACCCTTGACGTATATGTTCTCCCGCTGTGCCGAGTGACGACTGTCTTATTAGTAGTCGCTCGACACTACACAAAATAGAGCAAGCCCATTTTCCCCATGTCACTACACCTCCCAGAGACAAAGAGGTTTCATGCCGTTCGTTAATCTGTGACTTACGTCTGTCTATCTTGAGGTGTGTATCTGGTTCTTTTTATTGGAAATCTAAGTCGGGACTCATCTTCATTGTGATCTTCTAAGTCCATGTCAGATTCATGTATACTATCGTCCAGATTTGTTTCCTATTAGGTTTGCTATTTAGCTATATTTCTGAGATGCTTTATTATGTACATTATTTGCATTATTCGGACTATTGTCCTCATCTTTGTCGCCATATTTATTACAACATTTCGGCCTTTCAGTATCTGTCTATATTTCTGAGATGAGGTATTATGTACATTATTTGCATTATTCGGACTATTGTCCACATCTTTGTCGCCATATTCATTACAGCATTTCGGCCATTCAGTATCTGTCGATATCTATGAGATGAGGTATTAAGGAAATTATTCACATTATTCGCACTATTGTCTTCATTTTTTCGCCATATTTATCACGACGTTTCGGCCGTTGTACACTCCGGATTTCTTCAGGTGGTTGGAATGTCGAACTGAACCCTTTCTTTCGCACGCTGGGGAAGGCTGTTATAGTTCCACGTGCCATATCAAATGGATGTCAGTTATCAGTTACCTCCTGTTAATTCCCCTCTCCAAGTTCTTCACTGCCTTAACCAGGTATTGAACTCACACTCTTTGTTTATTAACCTTTTAAACCTTCACTGATAGTATCTGTCTATATTTCTGAGATGAGGTATTATGTACACCATTTACATTATTCCGACTATTGTCCTCATCTTTGCCGCCATATTTATCACGACATTTCGGCTCTTCAGTAACTATCTATATTTCTGAGATGACGTATTATGTACACTATTTACATTATTCGGACTATTGTCCTCATATTTGTCGCCATATTTATTACAACGTTTCAGCCTTTCAGTATCTGTCTATATTTCTAAGATGAGGTATTATGTACACTATTTCCATTATTCGAACTATTGTCCTCATCTTTGTCGCCATATTTATTACAACGTTTCGGCCTTTAAGTGTCTGTCTATATTTCTAAGATGAGGTATTATGTACATTATTTACATTATTCAGATTATTGTCCTCATCTTTGCTGCCATATTTATTACAACGTTTCAGCCGTTCTGTATCTGTCTATATTTCTGAGATGAGGTATTATGTACATTATATGCATTATTCGGACTATTGTCCTCATCTTTGCCGCCATATTTATTACAACGTTTCGGCCGTTGTACTTCTTCAGGTGGTTTGAATGTCGAACTTAACCATTTATTTCCCTCACTAGGTAAACTGTTCTAGTTCCACGTGCCATGTCTAATGGATGTCTGTTACCAATTATCTCCTGTTAATTCCCCTCTCCAAGTATTCCACTACCTTAACGGGGTATTGAACTCACATCTCAGATCAAGTAATAGGACCCAAAGTGTTGTGAGTTCAATACCTGGTTAAGGCAGTGAAGAACTTGGAGAGGGAAATTAACAGGAGATAACCAATAACTGACATCCATTAGACATAGCACGTAGAAATAGAAAAATCTACGCCATGTAGCAAAATAAAGGGTTCAGGTCAACATTCCAACCACCTGAAGAAGGCTGGAGCGTACAACGGCCGAAACATTGTGATAAATATGACAATAAAGATGAAGACAATAGTCCGAATAATGTAAATAGTGTATTATTTTCGCATTCTCCATCAGAAGTACTCAGGCTTTCCTCCCTTCTAGGTTGCTCCGCCGATTCCACTTCGACATCTGCGTCGTCATCTCACGATCTTATTTAATCAGTATGTGTTAGTAAAATCCAGTTTGCCTATATCTTTACGCAATACATCTAATGTTTCACTTAAGCAGTTTTAATTGTTCCGTAGAAACAGTCTCAAATCTGGTTTTAATTATTTAGGGAAATAAACTAAACAAATAAACAGAACTAAAATGAATATAAAATGCTAACAAGCGAATTATGAATTGCCGACAAATTTAAACTAATAAAAATATTACACAGTAAACTGAAGGTTAATGGTAGCTTAAACGACAAATTAGGCAAACAGTCATATCGATTGTAGTCAAAAACACAAATGTTTACCACATATGTTAATGCATCTATTCTGTACACTCTGTCTTGTCTTCGTTTCAAACCACTGCGCAGGCGCAAAAACTATGTTTTTGTTCCCTTTCATCCCAGCAATCAGAGTTTTAGAAGATATGAGACGTTTACCAAACAAACAAATTTGGCGAGGCTTTTTTTTTTACTTTATTCTTTTCATTTACGAGGAAAATCATTATCCAATGAGACTACTACAAATTTCTACGTTTATTTTGGAATGGCGACAGGTCGACGAGGTTTTAGCTCATTGAAGTCAGACAGAAACGAGTATAGGCCAAGCACAAAAGAACTGTCGCAACTGTTGCCGATAACCGGATGTAACTGGTAGCTCGTATCTTAATTAGAAAGCTCTATTAGCTATTTTCGGATAATCACGTCGTCTCTTGTAAATCCCTCTGATGCAATTAGCAATGTCGAAAACCTAGCTGTAAAATATATCAATGGAGGACTATATATTTCATGTCTATCGAATTTGGGTGTAGGGTTGGTATTTCAACGAAAAGTAGACAATGCTTGGTAAGGAAAAATGTACAACACGAAGGAATCTATAGGGTGTCTAGTAAAAAAAGCGGCAATTTTATTATCATTGTTTTATCTTTCAGGAATTATTGACATTGAATAACCTTGAATAAATTTCTTGAATATTCATGACATTGAATAATCATTCGACTCTCGCGTAATTACTTAACTCTGATCAGTACTTTTACGATTGATTAATTGCTGCTTGATCTTGTGACACGTCATTTAAAGGTTATTTTCAGACAACTTTTGTCTTTACTTCTGCAATTCTCGTATGGCTAAACAAATCACTGTTTTTTTAGCGTCAAGTTATCGTACTTCTCAAAGAAGAGCCTCCGATGTGGGGATTGACGAAATGTGCAGAAATTCTTGCTGACATTTTCAGTCATGTCAGTGGTCAACATTTTTCAACGATTGTCTAACGTCTTTCTGAATTGACCGCTTTTTTAGTGGGCACCCAGCAGAAAATCTTTGATGAAAAATTTGGGCGAAGATAATGTGAGATTTGAATTCACACGTAACAAAATGTGATGTTCGAAGAACAGGATATAAACAACTTTTTGTAAAAATGAAGTTCACCTAATAGAAACATTGAATAGCCGCCCAAGGCAAAAGGTTACTGAATGAGGTGGATGATATGAATATTAAAGAAGGACGTAGGAAGTGTCGATTACGGAAATATGGAGGTGGGGGCTCGGCATGGTGTAATGGTTAGCAAGCTGGTCTCGTTACAACTGAATAGTGAGTTTGATCCTCACTGTGTACCCCATAATTTCGCCCCTGTGCTATATCTAAGCCAAACTTCGAAAAACGGCTTACGGTCAAATCACGCTGATTCTCGTTCGATCACCGAAGTTAAGCATCATAGAGCCAGGTCAGTACTTAGATGGGGTTCCGCTTGGGAACACCTGTTACTGTAAGCAGACCCCTACTACAGGAGTAAGCATCCAATTTTTTTGTAGGAGTACTTCATAACTGTCAATCTCTCTGCTTCGGCGGCGAGGAACCCGGACGAATCTTTTGACAGGCCCTAAACCCGTTTACACGGGTTCAAAGGGAATATTTTTGGCCAACCCTACGGGCTCCAGAACCCACAATAAACCGGCCTTGTGCCTCATACCACCAACGTGGCGGGGCGTGAAATATAATGGAGATATGGAGGTCAGATAAATGCGATCGTTAATCTCCAATACCTCGTGAGTGAGTGTTGTGTTTTCGATATCGCTGTACCAACCTTGATACAGCAACTGCCGTCTGTCGAACTCTCTGCATTAGCAGAGAGGAACCCGGACGAAGCTTTGCCGAAGAGCAAGGTTTCGTCCGGGGAGGTTATGACAGCTCTCGAACTCGCCTAGGCGAGTCAAAGGCTATATTTTTGGCCGGGCCTACGGGCTCGGGTGACCACGTAAAACTCGGCCTTGTGCCACATGCGACCCCACGTGGGGGGGACAGCTAAATATAGTTGTGTTTTCGATAGTCTATTACGGTAGCCTGAATGAATTTTCTCCGCTAAACACACTCATTTCACTGTTCTCAAATGCGATCTTTAAACATCTTGTTGAGACAGACATTATATAAGGTAATAGTAGTTTTATTACACTACACTTTTATTATTTTATTATAGTAATGTGAATTGTTGTTTCAGTAGAACATATTTGCGTCGATATTTACCAAGACAGGGGTTAGCAGTCTGGCCAAAATCTCCCATGGTAACAATTTACAATAAAGCACAGGATTTGATGCTTACATTATACACCTTGGGTATAAGACGGCTGCCTATTTCGATGGGTGATCTTTTAAAGTTAAAACGTCGCCTTGTACGCCAGTACATACGGTATTAATAATGTGATAAAAGCAAATTGGCAGCTGATCTTTTGCAAGGAAATAGATTGATTAAATAAAATGTTCAGTTCGGAATTAGATTACACAGATCAACATACACCTGGTGAAAGCCGAAGAGTACAACAGCCGAAACGTTGTGATAAAAAAAAAGAAATAAAAACGATGAGGACAATAGTCCACTTGTAAACGTCGAAAATAGCTATATAGCGTTCATGGACTTGCAAATTATGGTCATATCACGTTGAAACACCGTTTCTTGTACAATCACCGAAGTTAAGCAACATCGAGGCTGGTCAGTACCTATATGGGTAATCACATGGGAATACCAGATGCTGATAAGATTCGATATGCAGGTGATGTAATGGATGAGAGCTCAGAATTTTAAATCGGAAAGCCGAGTTCTAATTCCAGTTAGGTTCGTTATATTCACTTGCACGCAAATGTCCTTTGATTTTTACGGGTTATCAACCTTTTGCAGACTATATTAAAAAAATAAAATATTTTTAGAATGTAAGAACTTTTTTGGAGCGAATAATGAAGTACTGATAAAATTTCTAATAATTAACCCATAGGTGGGGGAGTAGAGGTTGAATCTTGCCTTTCTTAAAGGTATTTGCGCGTAAGTGAATATGATGAATCTGACAGGAGCTGGAACTCAGCTCCCTGATTTCCAATTCTGTGCCGTTATTCATTGCACCACCGGCACATCCGGGTTTACAGTATCTGGTATTTCCAGGAGGTTATCTATCTAGGTACCTACGAAGCTTGACGTTGAGGACCTTCTGTGATCGTACGAGAACAAGTGCTTCAACGTGATTTCTTTGAATAATGGCAGATCGGAAAACCGAAATCCGGATAATGGAGGGAGTATTCATTTATTAAATTTATCTTTTTAAGATATGTGAGCTCACATTAGTAAAAAATAAATAAATAAATAAAAAATAAAACCCTAAAATTAATGTCTTCACACATTTTCAAGTTCGTTTAATTTCTGTTTTGTTTTTTTAATTGTCGTTTTTTCTTTTATTCATTTCATCGCAAGCAAGGAGAGAAAGCAGCTAAGACGCGAAACGCGTTACAAGCAGTGAAATAAAATAAGACGTTAGTAAAGCAGAAACAGGGAAAAGGACCATAAAGGAGCAGGATTCCAGAAGACAGAAGATGGCGATTGACGTTGCATTTAACTTTTTGAACATTGTAGGTGGGATCTTCCGTGATCGTACGAGTACCAGTGTTTCAAAGTGATTTGTCCGTATATCTTTGAATAATGGCAGATCGGAAAATCGAAATCCGGATAATGGAGGGAGTATTTAATTATTAACTTTATCTTTTTTAAGAAATGTGAACTCACATTGGGAAAATAAATAAATAAAACCCTAAAATTAATGTCTTCACTGTTGTTCATGATGCCGGTCGTCTTTGAGTATAGAATCCAGAGGTTAGCAGTGAATATTTCGAAGACAGTAGGAAAGCGTAGTTCAGGTTAGCAGTGGATATCCCGGTAAAAGTAGCAGAGCGTAGTTCAGTAGTTCTTCCTTCTGTTCTTTCGCCTGACAAGTTGGCACTGGACATTCGGATAGAGTAAACAAAATGGCCGCCTTTATACATGACGGATTGAATGTTCTACGCCTCCTGATTGGTTAACCCTTCTCTTGGTGGACTATAAAATGACTCAAGTCATTTTGACTGGCTCACTAGTACATATATCCAAAAAAAAAAAAAAAACTGCAACATTCACGCATTTTCAAGATGGTTTAATGTCTGTGTTTTTTCAACTGTCCATTTTTTTTATTCATTTCACCCCAAGCAAGAAGAGAAAGTAGCCAGGATGCCAAGGAGTTACAGGGAGTGAAACAGAATAAGACTTTAGTAAAAAAAGAATCGAGGAAAAGGACCAAAAAGAGGCGGGATTCCGGAAGACAGAAGATGGCGATTGAGCTTGCATTTAACTTTTTGAACATTGTAGGTGGCAGGGAAGGAAGAAATCAAACCGAAGTTCCACAAGTGGGAAGTGCGAGTAAAAAAGCTATTAAAATAGAACTGCTGGTTGCATATAGCTAGTTCAACTTTCAAAAGGTGAGACTTAGTTACCTATCTAGTAGCAAGCTTAAATCCATGAAATAGCGACATTATGTCTTCTAATATATATATTTTTATTTTATATTACTTCATATCAAGAACTGGGATCACTATTCTCTTCTCTGGCGCTGTGAATAATTGTTGTCTTCGATGAAATAAGTAATGTCAAGAACCACAAAGTGCGTATCGTACCGACCGCTAAGACAATCGACATTTAGAGAGTAATTGATGTGATGACCTTAAATCGTGTCTTCTAATCGCACCTAGCAAAGGCAGGAGTAAGATTTATTCGATGCAATTGGGTTCGTAATTAGAAAGTCTCTATGACAAACGACATCGGGAGTATCATATGAAAAAGACAGCGCTTGTTTGTACCCGTAATTAATAGCATTCTTGTTTGAGACAGATTTATTTCTCGCTGTAACCAGAAGTCGCTGATGAACCACAGTTCAGGCGTATAAAATCGAATCCTTCCATATTTTGACCACTTATTTTATCATTTCACCCAAGCAAGGCAATAAAGCCACTAGGACCTACTGAGTGTTACAGAATATGAGTAAAAATTACTATTACAGAGAGAGGACAACAAAAACAGAAGAATTAAGAAGGCAGAAGATAATTTTTTTTAATCATTTCACCCCGAGGAAGGCAATAAAGCCACTATGACGAAATGACCTACTGAATATTAGAGAATATGAATAAGAACTGGTATCAAGGAGAAAGGACAACAAAAGAACAAGAATTAAGATAGCAGAAGATAATGATGTACATTTAAATTTTTATTAATCATTTCACCCCGAGCAAGGCAATAAAGCCACTAGGACGCACAGGGGGTCACTGAGTATGAAAGAATATGAGAAAAAGAAAATCAAGGAAAAAGGAGAGAGAGCAATAATCGAGAAGACCGTAGATAATGATTGACATTGCATTTTTTGAAGCTCAAAGATATCTGGGAAGCAAGAGGATGCAAGAAAGTTCCATAACAGAGAAGTGCTATAAAAGAAACTACTATCATAGAACTTATATGACACTATTTAGGGTGGTGTGAAAAAAAAAAGGCGAGAATTAATTTAGGTGATAAGAAGCTATCACGAAAAGACACTGAGCGATGTTATTTTTTCTAACAAAGAAAAGTAGTAAAGATTTTATTTTCATTAGCGAAGAAAGTAAGATACCGGATTTAATTTGATTTATGTTTCGACGCGGCGAAAGAAGATAGCAATCTGCCCATGGCAATAATGAAAATTTCAGGTTGGTCAAGTGGCCTACGAAACAGAAACTGTGAGATAATGATAATCAGGTCAAGCGCTCTGACCGAGAAAAATGTCTGCTGGACCACCCACAAGTTAGAAAGAAAGAAAGATTAAACCACTAACTATCGTCGGAGATAACATTGGTTTGAAAGAAAAACACCTGTTTTATTATCCAAACCTGGACATGATAAAAATTATTTTATCGGAACAGATAATTGGCGAAAATCTCGTTGACGAACTTCAGATGAAATTCGGTTAAGATAGAGATTAGAGACCATCCTAAGAGTCGTGTGAGGTTTCCTCGAAGAAAAGAAAGAAAAGAAAAAAAAAGGGAAGATAATTTTTTTTTCCTTTGAGCGATAATTGCAAACACACACGCTGTTGAGTGTTCATTGGCTGGAGGGTGGCGTGAGCGGTAGGCGAAGGTAAACTATGAAGAAGGAGGGGACGCCTGTTGACGCCCCCTGAAGGGATTGGGTGAGATACCCATATGAGAAAGGAAGAATTTGGGAGGACGATTCCCTTAAACTAGAAAACAAAGAAAACCCTTAATGCGGATTTAGAATTATCAAGGAACCTCAAACCCCGACAAGCCCACCCCGGTTTTGGTCGGCGTCCATATAAGCAGAGTCGCAGCGAGTGGACGGCAGTTTGCAGTTGGGGTGTAAAGGACAGACAGGCAAGCAGTTGAGCTGTGAGCTCTGAGACCCGCCTCGCAGAAGGCTGACTGGAAGATCCACGCAATCACGACCTCAACTTCTAACCAAGAACAATTTATTTTTGAAGAACGACTTAGACTCACACCACCAAAACAAGTTTTATCGATATCACCTGAAGATACACCAAAACCAGTTTCTTAAAAGAACAATTTAAGATGTTAAGACTCGCCTAACAAACACATAGTGTCACGAATCCATATTAGCGGTTTGGGAGAAAGAAGCAGACCTGTATTCAGAAACCAGATATAAAATATTGTTATTCTTTTTTAACACATTTGAACTTTTCGAGTTATTACTTTATTTTCTTTTACATATACTTGTGCGGTATTACCCTTGTTCGGACTCGGCTTGCATTACGGCCCGGCGACTAATTGATTTCGTCTACCTAAGATCAAATCACAACGTGGGTAGGTTAGACTAGAAATCAAAGCAGTTACTTCGGTAACCAGACGTTGGAGGCGAGCTGGGAACGACAAGGCTGATACCGAATCTAACCAGATTCCCATCCGAATCAGCAAAAGGTTAGAACGTCACATATGATGCCGCGACCAATACCAAGTCACATTGGTCGTCACAGGACAGGATAGGACGGCGACGGAGCAGCGACCCCGGGGGTGGGGGGTGACGTCACACTTACGGTTTCATCTATTTCAACAGTAAAATGATGAGACCTTGTCACCAATATAATACTGCGCTTAAATTCATAAATTCTAGGTACCATAGCGGGAAATTCTTCACAACAATTACCATAAAAGTATTTCTAGAAAAGGCACAGGGAAGCTACGTTGCGGCAGTGAGAAAGGACTGAAGTCGAGATGCCAGGTCAGGATCAATAACATTGCAGATTCTTCTTTGGATTTTAACAAGGATTTCTAAGCATATAGCAGGAGCACTAGCCTATTTGTAAAAGCAATGTTCAACGCAAGGAAGAATATATGGGAGATAGATAATAAATATATAAGATAGATAATAAATATATCAAGTAGATAATAAATATATAAGATAGATTATAAATATAAGATAGATTATAAATATATAAGATAGATAATAAATATATAAGATAGATTATAAATATACAAGGTAGATTATAAATATAAGATAGATTATAAATATGTAAGACAGCTTATAAATATAAGATAGATTATAAATATATAAGATAGATAATAAATATATAAGATAGATTATAGATATGTAAGATGGATTATAAATATATAAGATAGATTATAAAGATATAAGATAGATTATAAATATACAAGGTAGATTATAAATATAAGATAGATTATA